ATCGATCTACAAAGTCATGTTTTCCAACTCCAACATGGAAAAATATGACTTTGTAGATCGATTGGACTACCTTACCTTGCGATGATTTCGGGGCTTAGCGTCCCCGCGGCCCGGTCCTCGACTAGGCCTCTTCCGACAAGGCATGGTCATACAGCCCGTGTGTTTATTGCAGACCAGAAATTGTTACAGCCCCATCAGATTGATTGATAAAGATTGTCACCCAAGAGGTGGCACGGGCATGAATAGCCCGTAAGTGGTGGCCCTTTTGAGCCATTACCAGTATCAAGAGCTGATACTGGAGATCTGTGGAGGCGCGACTACACCCTGCGTGACGGGAGATGTCTCCCGTGAGCCCCATCAGTGAGCCATACATAAATACATTCATGATCTCTTGGTGGGGGGGGGGTCACGATCATCGGCTACCAACAGTTTGTTTAATCACATCATTAACCGCGAGGCACGGCCAGAGACCGCGGAGACTCCAGGAACCAGTTCAAAAGTAGAGTCCAGATATCCACCCCCCTTTAGGCTTAAGTATGCAAGCTATCATTCTCACTCTTAAGTCGATATTTGACATGTACATCTCACACTGATTGGGTGAATATTTCTCTCACTTATTGGGTAAATCTTTCTCACACTGGGTGAATCTTTCTCACAGTGCAAAAATCAGTTTTTTTTAAATTAATCTTGTCGTATATTGTGGCGTTATTCATAGGTAACGTTAGGTTAGGCTCTTGGGTTATATTTATCATGGGAGTGATTACAGGTGACGGGAGAAATGTAAGCATTTTTGTAAATTGACTTCAAACGTTGTAAAGTTTACTTCTGTTGTATAACAACACTCAGCTGGTGTTTGTGAGAGTTCTACCACACAACCAGTGGTGGTGGTGAGAGCTGGCCTACCACACAACCAGTGGTGGTGGTGGTGAGAGCTGGCCTACCACACAACCAGTGGTGGTGGTGGTGAGAGCTGGCCTACCACACAACCAGTGGTGGTGGTGAGAGCTGGCCTACCACACAACCAGTGGTGGTGGTGGTGAGAGCTGGCCTACCACACAACCAGTGGTGGTGGTGGTGAGAGCTGGCCTACCACACAACCAGTGGTGGTGGTGGTGAGAGCTGGCCCTACCACACAACCAGTGGTGGTGGTGGTGAGAGCTGGCCTACCACACAACCAGTGGTGGTGGTGGTGAGAGCTGGCCTACCACACAACCAGTGGTGGTGGTGAGAGCTGGCCCTACCACACAACCAGTGGTGGTGGTGGTGAGAGCTGGCCTACCACACAACCAGTGGTGGTGGTGGTGGTGAGAGCTGCCCTACCACACAACCAGTTGTGGTGGTGAGAGCTGCCCTACCACACAACCAGTTGTGGTGGTGAGAGCTGGCCTACCACACAACCAGTTGTGGTGGTGAGAGCTGGCCTACCACACAACCAGTGGTGGTGGTGGTGGTGAGAGCTGGCCTACCACACAACCAGTGGTGGTGGTGGTGAGAGCTGGCCTACCACACAACCAGTGGTGGTGGTGGTGAGAGCTGGCCTACCACACAACCAGTGGTGGTGGTGGTGAGAGCTGGCCTACCACACAACCAGTGGTGGTAGTCATCTTTCCCGTGCCCGACAGTAGCGAGCATTTTCACATCTTCGACACGTCGAGATGCGACAGGTGGGTCGGACCTCCTTTGTTTTTTTGTTGTTGCTCCCCATAAATGGTCGTCTTAAGATATTTCGGATCCTTATGGGGTGGTGATCCTTTCTCTGGGTGGTGTGGCGGGTCGCTGGGGGATGTGAGGCTGCTGGAGTTGGAGTTGAGTCTCAGATTTAATAATGGACACGAGAGGCTGTCTTTCTTCTGCCGTCTGACGGGGTCCAAAGCCCTTTATCGGCTGCTTTATCTGCGCGGGTTGGCATACGCGCCTGTGCGGGCTGGCATACGCGCCTGTGCGGGCTGGCATACGCGCCTGTGCGGGCTGGCATTCGCGCTTGTGCGGGCTGGCATTCGCGCCTGTGCGGGCTGGCATTCGCGCCTGTGCGGGCTGGCATTCGCGCCTGTGCGGGCTGGCATTCGCGCCTGTGCGGACTGGCATTCGCACTTATGCATGCGAGTTCTAACAGGGCATTATCTATGGCCTGTGGATCATCTGTGGCCCACATTGAGAAACTATTGAAACGCGGCTTAGGGCCATGTTTGCTTCGTGCCATCACAGCCAGGCTGATCTGGCAACTCCTCCGGGGGAAACTTGTCGAGTTTACCCTTGAAAGCCTCCATTGTTGGTGCTGCCATGTTCTTTATATCTATTGGCGGGAGGTGGAAGGTGCCCCGGGTCTCTGGTGTTCACAGTGTGGGGTCTCTAGTTGTGCTGCGAGGGGGGTAGAAATAGCCTAAGCTACTCTATCCCTTTGAGATGTATTTCTTTCTTGTCTCAATAAACATACTTGAACTTGAACTTGATCTAGTTGTGCTGATGTCACCCCGAGTTGTTATTGGATTAATTTGACACTTTATCTTTGACATCATCCTGAGTGAAATGGTGGCAGGTGCAGTGTGTGTTGGTCGGTGTACCGGCTGTGTACCAAATAGTAGAAGGCCATCTGCAGTCTCGGGAGGGAAGAGGGAATTATCAGGGAGAAAGCGTCAAGCCATTACGACTATATAGCACTTGGAAGGGGTCAGGATAAGGATTTGGGATGGGACGGGGGTTGCCCCAACCACTTGGACGGTCGGGGATTGAACGCCGACCTGCATCAAGCGTAGTCTCCCGTAGTCTCGGGAGACTACGGAGTTGCGCTCTGGTTGTGGAGGCAGAAGTGTCCTCTCCAGGGCGCAAAGCCTGGATAGGTAGATATGGAGAAGCTGTTACCCATGCAGCAGGTCCCCCCTCTCTCCACGATGCTGAAATTGTCCAGTGGAAAGGCAAACGACAATAAGCTTGATTCCAGCGCCGTTGCAAGAACTGCCAGAACGAGGTTGACGTTAACAACGAACTACCTTAGGGGCTCCTACTCCTGGTTTTTCATCGAGGTTGACTCCTGAAGCTCGTTTGTACCCCAGGTATGGCCACGAAACAGCGGAGGTTTGACGTCAGGGTTTTCCTTCCCCTAGATGACCTGCCATCCCCGTCTGTCGAGCCCCATCTACCCGGAGCAGCTCCGTAAGGCGCCAGAGGCACGAGCTCTCACAAGAAGTCGAAGACCTGAAGGGCCGCCCCAGGAATGGTGCGCCAAATATGACCTCTATCGACTTGAGAATGACCTCAATCGACTTGAGAATGACCTCAATCGACTTGAGAATGACCTCAATCGACTTGAGAATGACCTCAATCGACTTGAGAATGACCTCAATCGACTTGAGAATGACCTCAATCGACTTGAGAATGACCTCAATCGACTTGAGAATGACCTCAATCGACTTGAGAATGGTCCAGGACGGACCGAAACGTCGTCGTCCCTTATCTTGAGGTTATCTTGAGATGATTTCGGGGCTTTTTAGTGTCCCCGCGGCCCGGTCCTCGACCAGGCCTCCACCTCCAGGAAGCAGCCCGTGACAACTGACTAACACCCAGGTACCTATTTTACTGCTAGGTAACAGGGGCATAGGGTGAAAGAAACTCTGCCCATTGTTTCTCGCCGGCGCCTGGGATCGAACTCAGGACCACAGGATCACAAGTCCAGCGTGCTGTCCGCTCGGCCGACCGGCTTCATCCCTTCACCTTCTAGTGTGTGGTCTGGTCAACATACTTTAGCCACGTTATTGTGACTCATCGCCTGCATGACCTCAATAACATTAGTAGTAAATCATTAAACAAATAATGAAGAATCTCATACCTACTATTATCAATTCTAGGCCTAGAACTGATAGACCTTTTGATTCATAATAATAATAATGCCTAAGTCGTGGTCCGTATCGTCGATGTCATCACACATGTTTCCTTTTAATCTCTCGTGCTTCAGTATTTCCTCTCTGACGTTTGTTTAGTGTACAGAGATGTATACAAGGTGTGTATGTTGTATACACACACTCACTCATGATGATAAACTACCTGTGGGGTGTATTGTGTCAGTGTTGTAACTGCCGCAATACTTACATTATGGAGTCGGTGTTGCATAGCGGATGCCTGGAATGTACATACGTGTGTGTGTGTGTGTGTGTGTGTGTGTGTGTGTGTGTGTGTGTGTGTGTGTGTGTGTATCTTACAAGACTTTCTCAGCCATAGTACAGTGTCATCTATGGTAAGCACCTAGCTACTTGCTCCCATGATAAAGAACTGCCGAGCATCCAAGTCCTCCTCTGACTACTGTAAACCATAAACACACTACTAAACGAAGTATCTGATGATATATTCATCGACATTCTAGTTGATGAATTCGATACGTCTTTCACTTATAGAGAATTGGTTGTTCTACGATTCAGTTCTACAACTCGCAATCTGCATTTGATGAAGTTGAACACTCCAAAAATTTTATAATTGCTAAGCAATAGTTTGTTGGCAGTTTAGTTATACCGTAGTCTTGACCGGATCGTGGGATCATTGATCCTATGAACCACCTTAAAGAAATGGCAGGCCGGCTCTCCAGGAGCAGAGGACAGGCAGAGCAGCTGCTGCAAAGCAAGCAGAGGTCAACTATGCTGTTGCATGCATACACAGAGCAGCTGTGGCAGTTCCACCCAGGGCCAAGCGCAGAGGAAAGCCCAGAGTCTCTCCAGGGCCAGGTAGAGATAACCGTAAAGGGTTGGATTTATAGATTCACAAATAATTTTGCGTGACTGGTTATTGCAACTCGATCACGGCCCTTAACGGTGGCAGTAATTGTGTCAGAGGTGCGGGTCTCTGTGATGGTTCCCGCCCTGGTGACTCTTACTCATCCTTGTTACGCTACAGCTTTTATAGCTGTTCAATGCCACGGCCGGAGAACTCTTCTTTTTTCTTCTCTGTCGCGTGGAGGAATGTGTGTTGTCATGACAATGTTGATCCCTCGGCCTCCACCTTGACAACCTTTCGGTCTAGCTCCGCCCTCTTGGTCCGCCTCCACCTTGACAACCTTTCGGTCTAGCTCCGACCTCTTGGTCCGCCTCCGGGAACCTCTTGGTCCCCCTCCGGGAACCTCTTGGTCGGTCTCCGGGAACCTCTTGGTCGGTCTCCGGGAACCTCTTGGTCGGCCTCCGGGAACCTCTTGGTCGGCCTCCGGGAACCTCTTGGTCGGCCTCCGGGAACCTCTTGGTCGGCCTCCGGGAACCTCTTGGTCGGCCTCCGGGAACCTCTTGGTCGGTCTCCGGGAACCTCTTGGTCGGTCTCCGGGAACCTCTTGGTCGGTCTCCGGGAACCTCTTGGTCGGTCTCCGGGAACCTCTTGGTCGGTCTCCGGGAACCTCTTGGTCGGTCTCCGGGAACCTCTTGGTCGGCCTCCGGGAACCTCTTGGTCGGCCTCCGGGAACCTCTTGGTCGGCCTCCGGGAACCTCTTGGTCGGTCTCCGGGAACCTCTTGGTCGGTCTCCGGGAACCTCTTGGTCGGTCTCCGGGAACCTCTTGGTCGGCCTCCGGGAACCTCTTGGTCGGCCTCCGGGAACCTCTTGGTCGGCCTCCGGGAACCTCTTGGTCGGCCTCCGGGAACCTCTTCTTGGCTGCAGGCCAGCACACACCACCACCTGGACCGGCCTGACAGCTCCGGTCTAGCCCCACACACTTGGTTGTGAAGACAACATAGCTCACTAGACACAAGGTTACTAACAGCCTCATGCTCCTTCACCCTCATACTCCTTCACTATCATACTTCACCCTCACACTTCACCCTCACACTCTACTTCACTATCATACTTCACCCTCACACTCCTTCACTATCATACTTCACCCTC